ATGTGTACATTTAATATCTATGTATCTACATTGCACATGTACACATTTTCTTCACCTGTTGTTTGTTGGCATGTATATACTTGTTAATATATGCATAAGCATAGCAGCTAAATATGTAATAACTATTCCTTATACTCCTCTCTTTCTGTTTCTTTGGCAACTCAGGGGTGAGAGCAAGCGAGCAGCAGAGCAACGGCACTACGGCTCCGAGCAGAAGAGATCCCGTGGCGGCCAGCATCGCTATGATCGCTATTACAAGTGAGCCTCTGTGTCCAGTGGATGCTAGTGCGAAGAGCAGACAGACCCTGCTCGATTTTTGATTTCACGTCTGCCTAAGCTTGCGAGCCCTGGGCCCTCGGAGTGGAAACGAAGCAGAGCCGATCTTTGCATGCATTGGTTTGCAGCCTCCGCTTGTGTTTTGCTGTGCTCCACTAAAACAACTGATCTGCTCCAGGATGCCGACGAGGACATGAAGAACATGGCAGCAAGGACGCCCGCCAAGGACGACCAGACCAAGGCGACTAAGGTTGAGCCGAGCACCCCCGCCTCCAAAAAACACCGTAAGGGTGAGTCTCGTGTGAAAAGACGCCTCTTCGAAACCCCCAAGCAGGAGACCCCGTCCCCGACCGACCGCAGTCCCGGTTCGAAAGGGGGCGACTCGGACGAGGATGCAGATTTGTGGAAGGACGACTTTCGCCGCCTTGACACCACCAGCTTGCCCGAGAAGCGAAAGGCCCTGAATCGTCCGTCGTCCCGGTCCAGGGTCAAGAAACGCCGAGCAGGAAGCAGCCCCGGGGCCCCCAGTGTCAAGTCCGAGATCGCTGCAGCCCGCGAAGTCCCCGGAAATTCGTGTGCAGAAGATGATGACGAGGGCCGTGGCAATGAGCTTTCGCCTACTCCCACCCCCAAGTTTGAGGGTGCGAAGGTAAAGCCTGAAGAGGCCCCGCAGGCCGGAGGCCGAGACCCTGCCACCCAAGTTGAGTCGGATGTCCTGCAGTCCCTTCCCACAAGCCTCTCCGAGTGACTTGGTTTATGTTTATATAATTTGACTCATGGTGTGCAGGCTTGTCCTCGTGTTGTAGTGTAGGAAACTTGTGCATTGTTTTCAACAAAGGCGAGATCTGTCCCTGATCGTTCACATCTTGACAGAAGAGGACCTGCTGACGATGCAGGACTGCCTGGAGAACTTGGCAGAGATCGATCCAAGCACTTTGGCTCTCTTGTGCACCTATGGGTTGTCTTTTGCAGCATTAATATTGTGCTATCTCAGGCAACATGGCTTCCATGCTGGGGGCAAGCGGTCAAGCTCTGTTCGCCAAGCTCACGATCAAAGGGAAGCGAGGATTTTTGGGTTGGTCAGAAAAGCTGAAGGCCAGGGCCTTCGTGCAACAGCTCTGCTCTTGTGTTTATTGCCGGCAGGCTCTCACGCCAGCGGGATCCGAGCTCAAGGAAGAACCGAAGGAAGAGCCGTGAATTGCAATTCTCTGTCCTAGATTCGCCACATCATTGTCATGTCCCGAAACTTGAAGTTTATCTAAGGAGTGATTGGCGACAGAGTGCTTCTCGTGCCGTGTGTTTTGACACGCAGCTTGGTTCCTGTGGACGGAAAAGGAGGACGTGGCTTTTTCTCGTAGTCCGAGCCGACACACATTCTTTGCCGCACTCGTCTGCTGATGCAACCGAAGTGAGAGGTCAAGCTTTGGCTTTTTGGGTTGTGTTGCTTGCTTGACACGAAGCCGTGCCTCCCGCTTGCTGCTCGCAGTGTGTCAGGGAGTCTGTTGATTTGCAAGTCCAAGTTCTGACCGTCTTAAGTAGAAGCGAAGTTGCATGGTCCGGCGGACTATCCGCCACGCATACGCCGAAATCGCACTCCTCCACATATGAAGCTGTAGATTGTGCTATCTCTAGAAGACATTCCAACACATCCGACAGCCATCGACTTAGCTTTGGCTTTTGATGGGAGCTGACACTGCACCTTTGTCGAGGCTGTGGAATCAAACTTGGCTCCGGGATCGTGGGGTTGAGGGGTTTTCGCCAGTTCGGGCGGGCCCAAAAATCGGTCCTGTCTTGTAATACAGTTTAGAAGGGAGGCCGGGGTCCCAGCATTTGTCCGTTCCACTTCAGAACACGTGCTGCATCATTTACACGTGCTGCATAGATAGACTACCGCATTTGCACGTTCTGCTTCGTGTGCAGGTGACGACTTTTTTCGGGTCCCGATCGGCACGTGCCGCAGGCCCAACCGCTGATGTGGAACGATGAAACACAAAAATCCCTAAACCCTGGAAATTTGGAGTGTTTCAAGGAAAACCAACACTTATATCGTTCTGCTTCAGGAGCCACCAACGTTCTGCATCAGCTATTGCACACCGACCACCTGGTGACCAGGAGGCCCGCGCAGACACGCTGATGCAGAACTGAGACCATTTTGTGGAATGGTGTTTTGCCAAACCCCGATGTGGAATGCAGTGCCAGGCCATGGAGTCCTGGTTAAAGAGCAGGATAGTAGCAATAGCGAGGCCGGACTTTGTACGTTCTGCTTCAAAACAACGTGCTGCATCAGTTTGTAGCTACGAAGAAGCGACCCATGCTGTGGCCCAGGATAGAGGATCCAGCGGAAAAGTCCAAGTTTCGAGCGAGCTTCCTGGACAAGCTTCGTTACCTGGACGAGAAGACGAGAGCCGGTAACACACTGGACGAAAAGATTCAGCTCCTCTCGCCTCAGGATTGGGAGGCCATTTCAACGGTAGAGTGGCACGGATTGGGATGTGCAGCACCTCGTGAATTCACGCCAGGCCCTGCTTGATCGGAATCGTGCTGTGGCTGCCAATGTGGGCCTGTACATCAGGCCCAGTCTTGAACTTGAGGCAGGGCCCGAGCCTGTCGAAGAGCAGGCTTTGGTTGTGGCTGAAGAACCCTCTGTTCCGCAGCAAGATGCAGCACACCCGGTAGAATATGTTCGAACCACCATCGCCTATCTACGAACGACGACTGGCCAGCGGGGTGTCTTTCAAGTTCACAAAGCTTCTCGTCTTTCAGATATTTGTGTGCCACTTTTCATGAATACGAATACATGAATTCTGGGTTGATCGTTTGAAACAGCGAGGTGGCACAGGAGCACAACACGGAGGGCTATGTTCATATCTTCCGGACCAACGAGGTGTGGCCATTGTTGAAGCGGGCACAGGCCTTTCACAACTGGTACACCAAATTGCACCATGACTTTCTCAGCATGCATACGAATGTCCACGCAGGTTTCCGTGCCACGCAAGATGTCTCATCTATATTGTACTAACCGAGGCAGGACAATCTCACCGCCGAGATGTCCCAGGAGTGGAAGATAACAGTTTCGGCCCACGTGCTACGGCGAGCGGAGTACAAAGGGAAACAATCAGAAGCTTCCGAACAACGCCTCAAGCTGCCCTTTGACGGAGCCACACCTCTTGGACTCATGCTCATGGTATTTTCCTCAGTCAGCAGCGAATGGTTTGTTGTGTGTTGATGATCCCGGTTGTGTTTTTCGCACGCCAATCCTCAGGCTTGCAGTGTCTTACAGATTCGTGGCTGCAAGCCGAATTTGCAGCAGGGGGCGAAACTTTTCTTGGAGACCTTCATCTCCAGCACAGCTCCGGCTGACTTGGAGCTCCCCCTGCTGCCGAATATAAGAGCTTGCCGCTTTGCTTGATTAGGTGCAAGCCCTTCCAAGATTGCAGCAAGTCGCAAAGCCCAGGCAAGATCGTGTGCCAGGGAAACGAGGTAGACCTACACAGCCTCGAAGACTTTCTTGAATGCATGGGTTGGCTGTCAAGGTGGGTTTCTTCTTGGTCTTGAGTGCCGTGTTTCAGTGCCGATCGGAGGTGGCAGAGGTTTCCTGTGCTCTCCCCAGCACAGAAGAAGCTTGAAGCAGGACAATGGAGTGGTGTAATCGAAAACCCTTCCTTTCAGATTGCTCAGTTTCGCACGAGTTGTTTGTTGCGATGGCCAGGAGTGAAGCTGCCCCTGTTGGTCTTCTTTATCATGCGAGCCCCGCTCAGCGACGAAGTTTGTCAGGCCGAGGGGCTGCCACGCAAGATCAGGCTGTTTCGGAAAGTGGTTGTCGACTGCAGGGACAAGTTCGAGTCGGACGAGTCCAACGGCGGTTGCTGCATTTGCTTTGTCAAGCCATCGAGAAGAACCTCGAAAATGTGCTTGTTGACAAGATACCCTTGCCAACTGCTGATGATACGTTTCATCCAGCAAAGACGTGCCCTGGACGACACATAGCCGTTTATTCTCTAACCCGAAAGTACCAGTCGAGTCGCGAAGAGTCTTTAGAGTATGTGTTGTGCATTGAAGTGCTTGCTTCATGCTCACCCCAATCCGAGGGACGGACGTGCTCTCAAGAAAGAGGTGAAAGTTCGGAACCTGATGTCCTTGGACCGATTCTTGAATCGGACAGGGGGTTTTCACTCACAGGCTAGCGATCAAAGCTTGGCCGACATGGGGCTCCAAGAACTCAGCCCGTCCCACTACCACAGGCAGGTGATGCACTTGTGTACTGGTGTTACAGTTCCGTTGTTTGTGAAGCTTGTTTTGGTTGCTGCCAGATTATCCAGCGATTTTGCATTTCGTTTCTTTCGGCGAGCAGCAACCGTCCTGAACGAGGACCGATGCAAGCATGCACACACACAGACACGTAAGCCAAGTGTGGGTTCTTCGCTTGAGATAATTGAGGAGATCAAAGAGCAGAGGTTCCCGTCCGTGAACCTCATATCCGATGCCAGCCCAAAGGCTCGAATGGACGTTCCTTGGATTCCGTGGTTGAAATCGTGTGTTTGGTTGGGGTTTGTCTCTGGGACCGATGGATCCGAGGTTTGGCTTCCCGTCCTGACCGTGGACAAGACCGTGGCACCGTGGGTTCTACAACGTCTCTCGGACTTGCTGCCTTCGACAGCCTCTACAGAAACAAAAATGGAGGAATGCCAAAGGCTTGCAGACCAGGCAGCACAGGCCGACAGCAAGCTCGCTACTGCACGCAAGCTGTGCCCTGGCTGCACAAGTCACAAGGCAAGGCCATATAACCACTGTAAGGCAAGCAAACAAGAGACACATTAAGGCCGAAGGCGATATCGAAGATCAAGCAGCAACGATTGTCTACGAGAGAGCATCTGAAAGCTGTCATCCATTCGTTGGACCTGCTGGAGTGTGAGCTGAAACTCCCGAAGGCAACACTGGAAGGTGCACGGCCACAGGAACATATCACTATGGAACGATATTCGAGCCGGTCCTTCCGTTGCAACACACAGTCTGGAGAGTCCGAGTGGCTCAGTCTGGACCAAAAGCTCCTTCGTTTGGTTTTGCAAGGAGACCAAGGTGGCCCCCTTTACTCGGGCTACCAGTACTTGGCAGGGAGGGGATTCCCTGTCTCCTTCATAAGGGACGAGTCGTGCCTTGGCTTCGAGTAGATGTGGTAGGGACAACAGCAGACGATTGCAAGTTTCTGATGTTTCTCACACTCGTTTGCATTGAGGCACAAGCTGCAGAATCACTTTTTGAAGGTGCTCAATTGCACAGCTGGAATCAAACGCCCCTTGGCTCATTGGAAGAGCAGCTATGTGATAAGTCCAGAAAGGCAGCCTCTTCGACTTGTTCAGGCTGCCACACCCTCACTGGGTGGGTTATGAAGGCACGGAAAAGTCCGTGGCACACTGGCCGCATCGGGGAAAGCTGGCGAGCTGCTGGTCTACGCTATCTTGAAATCGCATCTAGACTGAAACTTTCTGGGCCCCGTTGTCAGATAGGGTCTCAGGCCTTGTGGGGGAACACTGCAGGCCCGGCCAGACGATTGCTTGATGCAGCTCTTTGGCACGGCTATCCTTGAGGAGACACCTATCTGCAGTGTGTGGGAAGACACTTGTGGTTTTTTTCAAAACTTTTCAAAGATTGCTCAGCTTCTGAAAAACCCAAACCCAGGAACGGCTTCAGTTGCAGCAGTGACCCCCGCTTGGATTTCGATCGGATCGTGACGGTGCTTGACAAAATTTGCAAGTGTCCTTGGCTGCACTGGGCAGGGTATGAGCTTTTGGTCCAGTGAGAGCTACAACAGTGCTTTTTTACTGAAACTGGCAACAGGCGAAACGGGCCCATCCACAAGGAAGGCCGATGGTGCTCCTGGGCATTTTGTGCAAGAGCCTTTGCCGGGCAGTTCTCTGGAACTTTGCTGATCCTCACATGGGGTGGCATGGAGGCCCGCCGACGACATGCACTCTCTCTCTCTCTCTCACTCACTCTCTCTCCCTCTCTCTCTCTCTCTCTCTCTCACCACCACGACCACCACCACCCACCACCAACACCACCGCCACCACCACCACAACCGCCACCAGCAGCACCAGAATCAGACTCTGTCTGTTGCAGGTCGGGCAGAACCCCTTCACGACTCTGCCGGGAAGTGAGAAGAAACGGGCAGGAGACGCCGAGCGGATCGTGGATCTCTGTTTGAAGGACCGCTTCTGTTCGTATTCCCAGAACTGCACAGTAAGCAGCGAAGTGTTTGTTCGGAGATGCAGGCATTGTGGGACCAAGATGTTCAAGGACTGTTCAGTTCGCTGAAAGATTTGTGCCACCCTTTCTGTTCGATGGCTAAGTGGTTGGCTGCTGGGCCGAAAGTTTGTGCATGCAGTGCCTCGCATGTGCTTGGGGAAGGCTGTGTTCTCCGCTGTGTTGCATCTAAGCAAAAGAACAAAGCCACAGCCTGGGCTTTGCACCGGCACACGCTCTTCTGCAACGGTGCAAAGTATGGACAGCAGATGAAGGACATGCTCTCCACCGCCATTGCTGTGGGAACCGCAGTTAAGATGGGGTTGGAGCCCGGCCTGAAGTGTGAAACTGTGAACGGCCAGCCTGTGGCTTGGCGAGAGTCACAAACACCTGTGTCAGCCTGTGCCCGTGAGTGCAGCTGGGTGCAGTTCGCAGGTTCAACAGCTAGTTTTAAGGGTCAGTGAACACACGACAACCAAACTGATCCTGCAAAAGTTTGTCGCAAGTTCGATTGATTGCAAACTGGTGCGGATATTCCGCATGCGGGTGGGCCGCCGATCTCAAGCATTTGACAGGGCAGTGTGCGGCTATTCCGCAAAAGAGTCGGTCGCCCTCGATTGTGCGATCTGAAGTCTCTGAAGATTGGGACAATGCAGAGCAGTGTGCGGCGAGTCCGCAAACGGATTAACCGCCGTGGTTTTGTGCCGTCTCAACATATCAAACAGACAAGGTGTCGATTTTGTAGTACAGTTAAAGAGAAATACGCCGAAATCGCACGCATGCATTTTGCGAGTTTGACTGCTCGCAAAATACATAGACAGGTCCTGCTTTAAAGAGAGCACAGAGAGTCAGTGGCATTACATTGAAGTAGAACGAGGCGAAAGGTGGCAAATGCAGCAAGCAAGTCTCGCACTCGAGTTACTGGATGTTTTTGCGGGGGTTAGTGACCGGGATCCGTATGCCTACTGGTACATGTAAACTTCTCCAGGAGCTGCGAAGAACTCAAAGCTGATAGGTTTGATTTGAGCAATTGCAGCGGCTATTCCGCTGCCAACCGAATTGTTCATGTGTTAACGGATCACAGCATTTGATGCATGTGTGAGTATGCAGTGAGTTCGTGTTGATCAAGCACTCTGCCCATAGAAACACGTTTCTGTGACTCCCGGCAAACATTCCTATTTTCTCTCGCTGGATATCTGAGGTATTGAGATTTGCAAAAGCACCCTGCCCGGCCGAGAAGGACGCTACCTGGGATCATTTGCATGCAACACTGACGTGCTTGATGGAACTGGAGTTCTACAGCCTGTACTTGTGCAGCTCGCCTCAGCGATCGGCCTGCCTCTTGGTGGAAACTGAAGCTGCCGAGATGAAGCAGGTGCAAGCGAGAGTCTTGGCCGAAATGCGAGACGAGTGGAAGATGCTGCAAGAGATGGAGGACAACAAGGAGATGCATGCATTGTTGCAAAAGGAGTGTCCGTTCGTCTTCTTCCACCACTTCAGAGAGATCCCCGTCTGTTTCGAGCAATGCAAATGGACGATGTCCCCGCAGACATTTTCCTGTGTGCAAGCCTGGCACCCCAGGTTCAGCTGGTCTTCGAACATCGAAGACCTTTTTGCTGCCCTTCAGGATGCATGCCGCCGTGGTGTGAAGAACGGAGATGCAAGTCTGAGCAACCTGCAATGTGTGACAGTGAGAGCAGTCCAGCAGAAGATGGATGTGGAGGATGGCCCGAACCTTGTGAAGCTCGAAAGCGAGGACTACGAAGGCAAAACCGTTCGCAGTCTGAAACCCCGCATATGGGACCCAGACTCCGCATCCCCGAGTTTTCAGACTGCAGATATCGGGATTCGGGATTCGAAGGTTTTAGCACGACGGATGCAATGAATCTGAGGTTCGGACATTCGCATAGACGACGTCTTGAAGCCGTACGAGACCACAAGTGCTTTCAATCATTGCAAATCCCAGCTCAATTTCCTCAAAGGCCTCGGGCTTGCAAAGAAGTGGCTACGGCAGCAGCAATTCCATTTTCACTTGCTCCATATGGAGAGTCAGACTGCAGTGTGTTCCACTTAGGAGTGGGCGAGATCTGCTCGAAGCTTCGGAGAAGTTTTGGATTCCGGCAATTATGCAAAGGGGCCAGCTGCTTCAGATCCGGGAATCCTTCTACCTCTGTGCTGGTGGGACGCCGGCCGTGCTGTATGTGCTGGCCTCAATGGAAGCGAGCCGTTACTCAAGTTTCACAAGTCCACACATTGTGAGGTTATGTCGGTATATAGTACTGTTTTGACTAGTTCTTGCCGGTGTAAGGCATTGCAGCTCGAGGAGTTGAATCTGCTGTTCTCTGGACCTTTGCCTGTGGCGGCAGACGACGAGACGCAGATGCTGGCCCAGGCCAGCAGGTATGCAATGAAGGACCCGCTGCTCGAGAATGAGACGGTGAAGACCCTCGTGATCAAGATCAGAGATGGGCAGTGCCTCGCTTGAGATTTGAGTTTCAAGTGCACTCCGAGTACAAGTGGATTGTCAACATTGCAATTGTTGAAGGCACCCCCTGCAAGCAATGCTGCTGGATGATATTTCCGATGTGCCGCTGCTGCATAGAGTGACTGTGGCAGGTAGTCTTCCAGAGTAAGAACGAAAACATCCATTGAGGTCAGAGTTTTCTCCTACAGTGTTCACTGGCTCCCCGCAAACTGGGCTGCCAAAGTCGGAGCTTCTCTCTGCCTACGAAGGGCAGCAAGTGGGATGCCCCCTGTGGTGGACATGGTGAAAAGCAAGGCAATTGTACGCCTGACATCGGAGCAGCTGTCGAAGCTTTTGGGGGCCCACGGGGTGACAACAAGAAAAAACAGCACGAAGACATTCAAGACCAGACAAATCATGCAGCTGCCATTGGTCAGCCAGCAGTGCTCCCAAGAGGAGCTGACAGCATTGGATGAATTGCTGAAAGAAATTGATGCCAAGAGACGCAAGCAGCCAAAGGAAGAGCAGGAAGGGGATGAAGATGGAGATGAGGCACCGGTTTGTGACATTGTGTGGAGTTCTGAAAAGCAAACACTGTTAGTTCTCAAACTCAAGCAATGGTTCAGGTGTGGGATGCAGCAGGTGACCGGGCTCACGATCCTGCTGTGGAGTATGCAGAGCAGATGCTTGGAGAGATGCCGGACACGGAGGCAAGGGCTCAGAAACTGCAGACAAATGGTACAACCACACCTGCTAGCAACTAACAACAAGCATCAAACTAACCTTGCACCGATGCACACTGAGTTGTGAGTCTTGCAACACGCAGGACGAAGGCGATGGAGCAGGAGATGATGCTGCTGTGGAGCCGGAGCCGAATGGTGCTGGCAACGGTGAGCAAGCCGAGCAAGGTGTTCCACCCGAGCAACCCCCAGCCGAACGGCTCAGAGAGAGCCGCCAGGCTTTGTCTTCGTGCTCCCCAGTGCCCCCGTGGTTGCAGGAGCGATTTGCAATGCCGGCTGAGTGTACGATCATTCATGTGGTGCACACATCAAAGATGTTACCTCATTTCCAAGTTCGTGTGGCTTCCGGACAAGTGTTTCAAGGAAAGATGCTCGGAAGGATAATGATTCACAAACTTTTTTTGATTGTTCAGTATCCAGCACTAAGCAGGGTATTGTCTCGTTCAGTTGTGAACCATCAAATGGCGAAACATTGGGAGTTCTGAGTGCAGCTCAGGGCTTCGACTTCTGCGAGCTACAGCCCCGATGTACCTGCCGAAAGCTTGGATGAATCAAAGAAGACGATCAGCATGCTGCCAGCGAGACGTCGCAGCCAGCTTCAAGCATGGTACATGTGTTTCACATGGGCAAAGGCTGCCCTGGCTCAGCAGACCTCTAAGAAGAGGAAGCGGGGCGGATGAGGAAGAAAGAGTTTGGGATCTGACAGCTGGGATTAATGATGTTGGCAGTAGATTTCAGGACTTGCATCTTTGTGCTAAGTTCAAGGAACTGCATAATCTGCTATGAGCCACGAGTTTGGTCCCATTAGAGTATAAGCAACATGAGCCAGATCCGAAGGCTGAAGCAGAACGATGATCTGAACTAGGAGGCACCCCCAAGCAGCATGGCTATGGGAAGCCATGAATGAATGATCATATAGTATAGACTATTATTTTGTTGATTATGCACTAGACCCTAAAGGCCCTAAAGGCCCTAAAGGCCCTAAACACTTTCTCCCCTTCGTTTCCGGCTCTCAGACAGCGGTGCTCCCTGCTCCAGAGCTCCTTCGAGCTCCCGAGCTCCCGTTTGAGCTCGATGCGGTGCAATGAGAACTCACCGAAGCGATCGCACTCTGGTCCGATGGCCTTCGTATGAATTCTCAGATGTTCCTATCTTTGCAGCCGTACTTCATCTTGTAGAATGATGTTTTTATAGAGTCTAGTACCAGTTCCTGCTTTTGTTTTCATCTCGGCCGGTGACCAACCCATAATCACAGCAAGCTGATGCATGCTCGAGTTTTCCCTCCCCAGAGACTCCGAAGCCCCTTGATTAAGGAATATACCTTGGATGAGATTATGGATCGCCCTATAGATGAGCGGGTGTGTGTTTAACAAACTTAAGAAGGCTGCGCGCACACACACACACACACATGTGTATGTCAATGTATGTGTGTACATATATATATATATATACATGTATATATTGAAAAGCATAATTATATATATGTATATATATATATATATATATATGTTAGTCCATTTATAGAAAAAACGCATACATACATACATATTCCTTGATTTAAGGGGCTCGTGGAGTCCCTGCTTCTACGTCCACTCGGACGGGCCTGGTGCGTTTTGGCCAAGGCCTTGCAGTAGTAGCCTCAGTTTGAAGGCCCAGCCGGCAGCCAGCGACTCTATGGAACTTCTGTAGAGTCGGGGTCCTATGATGGTCGTAGTTGAGTATCGTATGAATACCAATAGGGTTCCCACGATAATTAGTTCGACCTCCCCCAACGGCCTACTCTCATATGGTAGTCTCATTTCAGAAGCCTTATAGGCAGCATGCGCTCGTATGTACCACGAGCGCATGCTCGCCTCGAGTGCCGGCTCCTCGTGAAGACAAGACGGTGCGGTTTTACTGGGTTTAGGGTTTAGGGGTTTAGGGGCTTAGGGTTTAAGGTTCAGGGTTGAATGGTTTATACTTCAGGGTTGTGCGGCTAAGAGTTTAAGGGTTTAGGGTTTACGGTGCGGCGTTGCCTTTTTCGAAGATCGGCTGCCTGTGCTAGACAATGTCGAAAAAGGGCACGGGTGCCCAGGTCTGAGGGTTTTAGAGACCGGTGGCTAAGGTTCAACTTGTCAAGCTTCATTTGTCGTCAGGTTCTCGGGACACAATGAAGGGTGTACTGAATGATTGATGAGTTTCGTCCCGAAGCCCTAAACCCTAAACCCTAAACCCTAAACCCTGTTCTGAGTAGTCAGGCTGGGGCCAGGGACTCGTGACCAGAGGTTTAGCTCGCCGCGACTACAGAAGCACTTAGTAGATGCGTTTGGTAGAAATTCGGCTTGCTGTAGTACGGAATTGCAATCGTCAGGGCTACTCGAAATGACTTTGAAACAGGTGATGAACGTGCTTCGGATAGTATATGTTGTTTTGATGCCGTAACTGTACGCGAATGTGCATGCATGTACAAAAGCCGTAGCCTCACGAGTCTCCACAGTCTAAATATGCGTTGACTCCGTGCTGAGGCCAGAAACCTGAATTCGCTTCAAGCAGATTGAGGGGAAGTAGGAAACCGGCAAGAAACATCTGTTTGGACATGCCTCCACCCTATGTGCAGAAGCAGTTGCAGGTGTAATCACCGTGGAGCTCCTGGCATTCTTATAATGCAACAGCTCTGGCAGATGACCGCTGGCATGACCCAGTTACCCGCCGACTCCTCACCCCACCTCTGGAATCCAGCAGGCAGATCCCACAACTCTCAAGCCAACCCTGAGTCCTGAATCCTAAGCCATCTCCAAGCTCCACGCACTTAAATGAAATTGGTCCAGGACTGGCGTGCGCTGCGCCATGCTTTGCATGCTGACTACGAGGCTACTCTTTTGCGTGCACCTGTGGTACTCTGGGGCTCCCCACACCCGAAATCCAGGTAGAAGACATGAGCTTGCGGCTTTCTAGTCATCGGCTTCTCAAATTTGTTATGCTAGTTGTACATTCCATCCAGCTTCTGAGCGTGAGCTGCAGGAGTTTGCTCGGGTTCTTTGAACAGGGTTTGTGGTGAAAAGCCGCTGTCTTCTGAGGTTGGAGGGTTGATGAGGTGCAGTGACGCTCAGGTCTTGGAATTCGGGGTCGACCCAGAACGATCTCTTGTTCTTTGAGTGGCTTGCCTCGTCGGATCACAGGAACGGTCCTGCCTCACCTCTGCCTGCATGCGAACCCAATTCCGCAAAGCCGCAAGGCTTTCTTGTGCCAATGTCACCGGCAATGCAAGCAAGAAGCGGAGAAGGATTGCTGTATCTGAGAACGGTCGTGCTGTGTGGAGGTTCCGGTTAAGAGCCAGGCTTCAGCCAGGGTTTCCGTCCGAGCCTGAAACGTATGTCGCTACCTGATCCAGTGTGTCCAAGTGAGAGCCCGAGCAACATGAAGCTGCAAAGGCGAGGCGGATACAGCTGTTTGGTTGTGTTTGTGCCTGCGGATGTGGTTGTGAAGATTGCGGTGGGTCACATGTTGTCGCTGCTGCAGCTTTTGCTGCTGCCCCTTCCGCCTTAATCGCCGTCGTTTCCATGGTGGTCGTCGTCGTCAGTGTCCTTGCGGTGAAGACCGGTGCAAGCAAGTAGCTCCTCAGGAGCTTGTGCGAAGTACCACAATGCTACTAGGACTTGAGTATATTGCTAGCTTGCATGGCTGGGATTCGCATTCGCTGAGTGCACCATGTATGCCCGGAAGAGGACATCCCATCACAGAATTGCCGAGCATTACTTCACAACACAGTCTAAGTCAACACAGGCCGTCTCTGTTGCTGTACAGCAGAGCTGGGAGGCACTAGGTGGGCCTGTCCTGGTTTCGGAGTTTGCGAGCTCGAGTATATCAGTCTCTCGTTAGTTATTTGTGGTTGCAGTGGGATCTTCCTCTATTTCGATGGGTGGGTTTCAATGCTTCCGGAAAAAGTATGTCGTGCCAGCATACCACTTCGAGCATGAGGGGTGTTTGCGTGAGGTTGATTGTAGATTTTCCACATGCAGTAGCTGTGTTGTATGAAGTCCTTCTTCGATCACCGATGCGCTAGATGTCTTTGCTCTCGGTTCATAGATGTCGTCATCCTCCTCGCAGTCGTCTTTGTAGCCGTCAATGGTAGTAAGTTGTAAGAGAACTACTGCTAGTAGTATGCCGTCGCAGTGTAAAGTCGTCGTAGCAGCAGTAGCAGGAGCAGCATGAGTCGTTCCAGTAAAGTCATATGCGGCATCAGGAGTAGCCAGCCCAATTCTGTAGTAACATCGAACACCCGATCCATCACAGCTGGAGATTGGCATCCTAAGTACTGTTCCCCAAGACTCGCACAGTCTTGTTTATTCCCGAGCGTGTCCTGAGAAACCCTTGACCAGAGTCCTACACTTTTGCACTGCATGCACGCACTACGACATTGCAGTCTTGGAAAACTGGAACGGTGGAATTGTGCCGGATTCTTCAGGGCAGTCAATGCAAGGATCTTTTTGAAGACTAGAGCCATGTAGGCTTCTCGAGCGAAGAGCATCTCATGGTGGACGAGCTGGTGCCCTCTAGCTGGCCGACCTGTTTGTACATAAGCTATAAGCACACCTATCTCTCTGCCCTCCCGCCCTCCCTCGCTCTCCGTCTCCGTCTCTGTCTTTGTCTCTCTCTCCGTCTCTCTCTCTCTCTCTCTCTCTCTGTCTCTCTCTCTCTCTCTCTCTCTCTCTCGCGCTCTCTCGCTTCTCGCTCTCGCTCTCGCTCTCGCTCTCGCTCTCGCTCTCGCTCTCTCTCTCTCTCTCTCTCTCTCTCTCTCTGTCTCTCTCTCTCTCTCTCTCGCGCTCTCTCGCTTCTCGCTCTCGCTCTCGCTCTGTCTCTCTCGCTCTGTCTCTCTCGCTCTGTCTCTCTCGCTCTGTCTCTCTCGCTCTCTCTCTCTCTCTCTCTCTATTTCTCTCTCTTTCTCTCTCACTCTCACTCTCACTCTCTCTCTCTCTCTCTCTCTTTCTCTGTCTCTCTGTCTTTGCACACAGCAGCAACAACAGCCACAACCACATCAGCAACAACCACCACAACAACAACAACAACGGCAGCAACAACAGCACCACCACCAACAACAACAACAACAACAACAACAAGGAAGGCAGTGCGTCTGCCGCCGCGCGGGGTGTGTCGTTCATTTTTGGGAGGTTTTTTGGGAAAAAGCTAGAAAACCCTGAGTTGTGCGTGGTTTTCGTCAACCAGACGATGCATCGGACTTTGTCTTGCTTTTTTGTCATATTTTTTGCGGAAGTGTCGCAAATACCGTGCTTGTCGTCTTTG